GAGCAAATGTTTATCAACAATTTTGAGAAGAATCTGGATATGCCCTATAGAGCTGCAATCAAAAAAGCACATGTTTATGGACTCTGCTTTGGCTTTGCCCAAAGCATAGTGTTCATTGCCAATGCTGTCTCTTACAGATATGGAGGATTTCTAGTTGACAATGAAGGACTCCATTACAGCTTTGTGTTCAGGTGAGAGCCTGCCCAGAGCCACAAACAGTTCTCCAGAAGTGCTGGGATTGGTGTAGTGTTCAGTGTCATGATGGCTTCCCAAGAATGACTGTGTCTCCCTTCCCTGCAGGGTGATCTCTGCTATTGTCACCAGTGGAACTGCCTTGGGAAAAGCTTCTTCCTATACCCCTAACTATGCCAAAGCCAAAACATCTGCTGCACGCTTTTTTCAGCTGGTTGATCGAATTCCTAAAATCAGTGTTTACAGTGAAAAAGGAGAAAAATGGGTAAGAGTGGAGATGAGTAATTTGTGATGTCATTCAGCTCAATATAAGCATGGAAGTTTGAGTCAGATAAAATGAAAATTTTCAATTTCTGGCAAATTGAAAAGCCAGACCCAGAAAATTCAAACTGTTTCTTTTATACTCAGTGTCTGTATTAAACTTACCCATTTACAAGGCAATGTCATTTCCAATTGAGGCCTCTGACCAGTGCCGTGCGGGGAAGTATAAGCAGAGAAAGTGTTACGAGCAATAGCTTCATCTCTAGGACAGCTACTCCAGTATGGCTTTTATCCCTTTTCCTGGGCTAGTTTCACAAGAACAAATGTCATATTTTAAACAAGAGATGCAAGAATGGAATCTGAGGAAGAGTTATTTTCTACTTTGCAGCCCATTTTTGAGCTTGAGCTCCTTGTAACAACTTTCTCATATATTTTTTTCCCTAGGATGATTTCAAGGGAAGCATTGAATTTCTTAACTGTAAATTCACATACCCTACTCGGCCTGATATTCAGGTCCTGAAAGGACTCTCTATAGCTGTCAAGCCTGGACAGACTTTGGCATTTGTTGGAAGTAGTGGCTGTGGTAAGAGCACCAGTGTCCAACTTCTGGAGCGTTTCTATGACCCTGAGAAAGGAAGTGTGGTAAGCAAAGAAAATGTGGTTTCTGTGCTGTTGTTTTCAGCAATGCCCCCAGGGCCTTCTGCCTGTGTCCTACTGTGCAGCCTAGCAGTGGTGGCACGTACATGTGCAGCCTGGGGCTTCAGCTCCTACTCAAACAGATGCGGACTGTTTGGACAATTCCCAAGTATCATCTCAGATGTATTCAGGCAAGACCAGAGAACTACAAGCCTCAGGTGCATCCTCATGCATTATGTAGGGTATAGGCATTTGCCTTGGTAGCTCCTGTATAAAACTGATGATGTGTGCTGTACATTGTGGGAGCACAAGCAAAAGTCAAGTCTGAATGGAGCAACAAAGAGCCTGGAACATCCTGCATATTCATGCAGTCTCTCTGCAGGTTGAATTTGTCAATTACTGATAGCTTAAAAAGCTTGTATATGTTTTCCTAATGTAAATACCTATCTAGACTGATTTCTCTCTCTTTGGAAGAAATTTCAGTGTGGTGATCACTAAGTCAGGAAGGCAATAAAGCATGTGCCTAACAAGCAATTCAACAGTTCACTAGGATTTAAGACTGAGGAAATAATCTAGTGTTTGGCTGGATCACAGCCATACCACAAAATACACATCATGCACAAAGAAGTCAAAGATAAGCAATCCTTCCAGTCTCACTTTAAATCAGTTGTGTTTGCATTTTAGTAATACAGTTAAATAATTTTATTTTGCTATAAATTATATGGGTGTGGCAAGCTGTTGTTTTGTAATGATGTTTCAAGTTTTCTCCTATTTCCCTGTAGTTAATAGATGGACACGACTCTAAGAACATAAACGTACGGTTTCTTAGATCACAAATAGGAATAGTGTCACAGGAGCCGGTGCTATTTGACTGCAGCATTGCTGATAATATCAAATATGGCAGTAACATGAAAGAGGTGCCGATGGACAAAGTCATAGAAGCAGCCCAGAAGGCTCAACTGCATGATTTTGTCATGTCCCTGCCTGAGGTAAGTACTGTGGAACTACAGACAGGCTGCTCAGTGTTCATTGCAGTGGGAGTTTCTCCAAACCCAGTTAAAGTTGCTACACATGTACATCTATCATGTCCTTTTACATCTGTAACAGTAGGAGCAAAGAGGGTGTCATGCCCATTTGTTGTGTTCCTGAGAGTTTGGGTGTGAGTTGTTACTGGATTCTTGCGTAGTAGACAAACATATAAATCCTGTTTCCAGCTGTGGGAAATTTGCCTTGTGACTAGAGCATGATACTTAGACAAAAATATTTGAAGCTGTCTGCTTATGTGCACTTAGGTATGATTTAAATGCACTGAAATAATATAATAAGAACATAAAAGTTATGGATGCAATTTAGGCACCCAAACAAAACACTTGCCTAGAAAGCCCTTAAATCATTTTTATCTTCTTCTCCCAAATCTTGGGCAGGGGGATTTCTTTTTGCCTCAGACAAATCAGCCAACATCTTGCTATCACATTTTTCTTCCAGGCCTGTCACCATGCTGCCTGGGCCTCTGAGCCATGCGCAGGCAAAGCATGGCTTGGAAACCTCTCCCAAAACATGTGTACCACTGAACAGAGTTTCTGTATTCCCAGGTTCTGTATGGAGGAGGCAGCAGTGGTCAGCATTCTTGCCTCTCTCCTGCTCTTCCTTCAGGCTGTTTACTGGTGTGTTAGCTTACACTTGAATAAAATCTTTCTTTTGTATTTTTTTTCAGAAATATGAAACTAATGTTGGGGCTCAGGGTTCCCAGCTGTCTCGTGGGCAAAAGCAGCGCATTGCCATAGCGAGGGCCATCATACGAGATCCTAAAATTTTATTACTGGATGAAGCTACATCTGCCTTAGACACAGAAAGTGAAAAGGTAAATGTGCAGAGATAAGCAATAAGGAAAAGTTAATACAATAGCTTACAATGTACTGTGGAGGATAAGACATAAGCATGCCTTCTCTCAGACATTCTGACTGTTGTGACAGGAAAGGTGTGATCAGAAGAAAGGGCCCTGCAGAGGTGAGGCAGTGCTGCACTGAGCCAGCTTCTTGGTCTGCCTTGAGACTGCTGCTCAGTCCCCCTCCCCCCAGCTCAATGCTTAGAGGAGCTCAAAGGGGCTGCTTATGTGTCAACAAAACACATGAAAAGTCTAGTATACATAAGAGGCTGCACCAGGTTCACTACAAAAGGGAGCAAATTGGGCCCTCTCACTCCCTTTTTTTCTCTCTGTCTGTCTCACAACCCCAACTCCTGACCATCCACACAGCACACCAATGTGGGATCTAAGGACTGGTGATATTCTTTGTTCTCTCTCTCCCTTTTCTGTCATTATTTCTCTCCTCCCTTGCTCTGCCTGGGCAAAGCACAGTTATATTCTACCCCATACTCCATACTGAAGTACCATACTGGGTTGTGACAAAGCCTTCTCTGTTCTGTAGACCTCCCAGCATACTCCCCTACATGACTGCACGGTATTCCACGTTGTGAGTTCAGCACTTTCACTTTTAATGATCTTTCCAAAAGGTGCAGGAGGCACAGCTATAGAAAAAAGCAGCCAGTTCCAAGGGCTCTTAAATTGCCCATGAGAAGCAGAACTTCTTCTGAAATGTGGATGATAATTCCCTGGGTTTAAAATCATTCAGTTGGGAATAGTTTGTAATTATAACTTCTGTACATTAAAAACCAACCAAACAAAAATGTATTCATGCCTATGAATGATGAGTCTGACTATCCAATAGAAACAGCAATGAGGGGCATAAGAACTTGGGCAATAATTTGTGTAGGTTGGTTACACACAGAGGTTAGAGAAATGGTGGAAATTTAAAACCGTATCCACAGTGAGCTGACATTCAGCACATGAGCTGAGTAAAGGCCTTCCTTAATTTCTACTACTATGTTTGTTTACCTGTACCTTCTTTTGTGCTGCCAATGAAGAGTTCATGACCCAGCTAAGCACACTAGTATCAAAACTTTCGATTTAGCCTCTTTGTCACTTTTACAAGTGTTGCACAATATGGTTAATGAATCTGAAGCAATTGGATCAGTCCAGCTCTGAGCCCTCATTTGCTTTGCATATTTTCACTCTGACACTCGGTCTGTTGCCTTTAGACTGTGCAGGCAGCCCTGGATAAGGCCAGAGAAGGGCGTACCTGCATCGTCATTGCCCACCGCCTGTCCACCATCCAGAACGCTGACATCATCGCCGTCATGTCGCAAGGACTCGTCATTGAGAGGGGCACTCATGATGAACTGATGGCCATGGAAGGAGCCTATTGGAAGCTTGTTACCACTGGAGCCCCAATTAGCTGAATTACTGTGATTCTAAATTGGAAAGATTTCTGTAAGCAAATACTTGTGGTAGGTATGTGTATGTTGGTGCTCCTTGGTGCTATGGAGTGCTCTACAATACTGTGAGATCAGTGGAACCCTGAATGTATGTGCTCTCTGCACCAGGCACACTTGTCCAGCATGTGCAGCAGGCTAAGCACAGGCTGATGCATTCAGGAAGTAGCTTAGCCCACTGATAAGGGAAAGAAAACCTGAAAATGGTAAAGAACTTTTCTGCTGATCTGGGGAGTTGCCACTACCTGCAAACTGCACAGTCCTGTCATGCCTCAACTAGCAATCAAGGAAGACTTCACTCTGGTGTTCTGGAAACTTCCCCTTCTCTAGGTAAACTGAGTAAACACAATCCCATAAATGATTCTGTACATCTGAAGAGATGAAATCTCTCCTAACATTTGGTCTGCAAGAGGATTACAGCAGACACCCTTCCTGTGGGTACAGAACTCTCACCCTTTCACCTCATCTTACCATACAAGTCAGCTGTGCTGTCAGGGAGGCTGAGCTTCCCCTGTGTGTGGCTGCAGCACTGACACAGCTGTGCCCCTTCAACAAAACCAGGAAGCACTTACAGAGAAGGCAGCTCCACAAATGGAAAGCAATCAAGGTGAGGCACAGAAGCTGGTGAGGATCATTTCCTAGCCCACCGGTCTCCACCTAACACTCACCACTCTAATAAAAGCTGTCAAATAGATTTTTTAATAGGAATAAATGCTTTGGTTGAATGTCAAATCTTACAGTTAATCATCACCATTATTTAAACCACTTCTATTGAGATGACGATGGATAATATGTTCTTTTTTTTTCAGAAGGCAAGACAATGATGAGTATTTTTATAGAAATCATAAATATATTCAGTAAAGGTGGAAAGCTAGCCATAATCAGCTCTTTGTTTGTATTAAACACAGTGGATAAATGGAGCAACAATGCATTCAGAAATTACAAAGGTCAGGAAGGAGCTTCTTTTGGCAGAAGCTTGTATCTGTCACAGTTTATTATAGGACCTACTGTAGGTTTCTCTGAAATATGTTATCAGTTATTGTCTGCAGCACAACTGAACTCTTTCCTTTAGTGACTGGGATCTTGGAGACAGAGCAGATAGACTGTCCATCTAAATTACTGCTTCAAAATGTGAATACTGATTTTGAATAATAGAGTATCAAGTGGAAAAGTCATTCTCCATGTTCTAAAATCTGCAGTTGGGGTGAGGGAGAGGTTTCCACTCACTTTATAATGAATCACACCAGTTTTCATAAAACTATGCAGCAGTACCAGTACTTGAATAGAGCTGTAAGGGTGAAATTTTTATTAGGATGCATCCCTTAATTCCAGGCAGCAAAAACCAATTTCAACTTTTGTACAACTCCATTAATAGAATTACTGCCACAGACCCTACTGAACAAGGGTTATTTTCCCAAGGAAGTCTGTATTTTAAACCTCAACTGAATATGACTTACAAAGCTGCATTATTGGCTTTAATCTTTTTAGCCTTTTTATGTTTCAGGGCAATAATTAGTTTGACAGCTCAGGACTGAAACTATCGACAGAGTGACCTAATGACATACCTATATGATATTTAATTTATATTAGTATTTAAGTCTATGGAAGAATAATGACTCTTCATTAAAAACTACACTGACTGTGTGTACTTATTTTTTAATTCTTTTGCCTAAAGAACACCACTTAAGTGACCCAAATTAAACGAATAAACTATTTTTTTACTGGCTCTTGTGCTTTAGCTCTTCTCTTACTCTTCAGACAAATGCATGAGTATCTTCCAGCAGCTAAGTATTTCTGTGTAGTTGGATCAAGTCTGTGACAAGGGTCTCCTGTGCAGGACTGAGCTGTTGAGAAGGCCAATGCAATGATACTAGGCCCTGTCTGCACAGGAACCTGCTGTCTCCTTGCAGGAGCACAGGGACATAGCTCCAGCTGGGTGGTACTACTTCTGCTCTTTGAAGTATGATCATCCTGTTTTAAAGCAGCTAAGAAATATCGAGAGCTAAGTATTGGGAAGTGTGCTGGTACAACAGAAGGCACTCACAGTGTACACAAACAGTTGCACATTCTTGGGTTGCCACCTCCTGCCACTTTATTGCTATGTGCTGTTGACAACCAATTAATTTTAAAGACTTTTGATGCCTGTGCAAAAGGATTCAATTGCAAGTAGCACTATACGGTGTGTCTGGGCATGAGCAACAAGCCTTGATGGACTGCTCGGGGCAGAGCTGAACTGGTCTTATCTCTGCAGCTGCTCACCACCCTGGAACTTGGTGACAAGATCCTTGAGCCAACCCAAAGGCATTTGCTTATGTCTTTTAAGTCAGACCTGAGTTATTAGTCTTGACAGTAGACAGTGTAATTTAATGTCTCCTGCTGTATGCTTCTCTGGGCACCTCTAAGTCAAGGACAAAAGATTAACTTTCTCCTAGGATCCCATTAGTGGGTGCAAGGGGATCAGTCAGACACTTTCCACCCTCCTTATTAGATAGGAGAACCTTCATTCAAAAGGGAGCCTTGTGGCCCAAACAAGGCTGAGTAGTTCAGCTCATCATATAAGTGTATATGTGCTGTATCTGTTCCAAATATTAACAATATAAACAGTTGCAAAAGCCTGGTGAATTAATAGTTTGAATATTTAACAATTTGATGGCTCTTAGATAAGGTCTCACACAATCTTGTTAAATAAAGTTTGAAATATAACTTTCAACTGCAATAAATTTACTAAAGCCTGATTAAGGGACACATAGACTTATTTCACTGTAACAATTGAATGGCTGGCTCATGATTTTCAATTCTAACTCTATCAAAACGTCAAGATTGTACCTTGACACTTGTTTAACCCACCATTCTGGAAAAGGCTAACTCCATTTGAAGATGTGGGAGCCCTGTTTGGAGATTCTTCAAGCAGTGGTGCAAAACTCCATAGCCCAACACCCTCAGCTACTCAGAAAGTGTCTTACATCACATTACATTATCAACTGGTTAATTTCTGAAGTTACTGGTAAAATTAAACTAACTTTGTTTATTCAGTTTTCCCACCATTCTTTGTTTTAGTAATGTTTTAATAGTTGCAGAAAGAGTAAGAGGTGGTTCAGACAGGAAGCTACTCTGTGTCCCTTTCCTGAAGCTCTAAAGCTGCAAACTGAATTAATAGGACACTCCAAAAAAGCGAGTAGAACTCATGTCTTCTTGTGTCTGTACAGAGCTTAGAAGAATATGGCAGAAATGACAGTTGTCAGTCTATATTTCGGGTTGTGTCTATCCCAACAGAGGCACAAAGATTCTTTGTCAGTGCCGGGAAGAATAGAGACCTTCATGTAGAAGCTTAGAAATGTGATGTCCACCCATAACTCTCAGATTAAAATAGACAACACTGCCACTAAGTTCAAACACTGCTGCGAGAACCACAGACAGCTGTGCATGAAGAATCTGCTGGCAGAGGGAGCCAGGAACAGAAGGACATCTAGACCAACCTGCTGGTGTTCTGTGATGCCTCTGTAGGTCACGTTATTGGTAGGGAATTAAAAAGCACAGAGCAACTTGAACACAGCTGAAATTTTTGTCATAGCTGTCTTTGTTCTTCTTACTTGTTTCTAGTCCCATTAGCTGAGTAATTTTGCTTAGGGAGTCACAATTATAGAAAAGAGTGGTTTCTGGTCAGCTGCAGTGGGAAAAAATAGTTCAGAGAACCATTACAAAAGACATCAGGAGATGCATGAAGCAGAATACTCCTCAGACTGTTAAAACCAGATAATTAATTTTGTTAAGTCAAGGCATTCTTACTAGGCTCTCAAATAAGGATGCCTGTTTCAGATTTGCTTCTGTAATTTGTATCATGTTCATTCCCAAAGGCCAACATGAAACCATTCACCTTGTTTGCCCAATTAAATAAGATTCTTTTGATTTCAATTATCCCACACGTAATTAGAAGTCTAGAAGCAATATCACATTTGCATCTTCTAATCCTTATTGCTTTCAGATCATACATGCACAGCCCTCATTACCCATATTATAGCCTTAGAAAGCCATATATAGTTTGTATACTAAGCATTATGAGATGGTATCAGCAAAATATTGCTTAAAGATTGTGCACTGAAAGGAAATATACAACAGTGGATGCTAAATAATGAATAAAAATAGGAAGTACCCACCTTTGCCTATTTAGAACATCCATTTATATAGCAAATATATTTAACATATTAGTTACTTGCCTAAGCAGACAAAGCTGACAAGAATATAAACTTGCAATGACAGTCTGCAACCACATGTTCATGATTTAGACAGCTACTAACAGTGATTCAGGCTCGTGACTCTCGACCTGAGAGAACTAGACTGATTCACCTTTGCAATACAGGAGTATGAACAATATTATTGAGGTTGTATACTGAGATTATTTCATTATTGACAACTTTCTTCATTAGCATCTATGTAGATGTACAGAAGCAAAGATTTTTTACACCACATTTATGCATTTTCAATATCAACAGTGTGATGGGTATCATTCAATATTTAGGTGATCACTCTCAAAAACTAGAAATGACAAAAACCACACAGTAATGCAAAAATATATTCTACAGAGTCTAATGGAAATACACTTTTATTTTTTTTTTTCATCTGACTTAATCAGAAGCTGTTTTGCTCAGGAAGCTCAATAAGTTAAATCTAAAGCCTTGTTTAGAACTATGCTGGCCTTTTTCACAGTGCCTGGGTACAGCCATACAGTTGTAGGTGGTGTGATACTGTCACACCATTATATAGCAGTTTAACACACAGTATCTATATATAAAAAATTAAATATTGAGTATCACTATGTACAGTTGAGGCTTGAAGCACCATCTAGCTAGAGATGGACAGAACTAAAAGACCATCCTATTGCTAAATACAACTAGTTGATTATACTTCAACATTTCCTCATGACCCAGAGTATTCGGCTGTTTTCTGCAGTGTGGTTGCAATATTTCTAG